CGCGCATGCATACACACCGTACACATGCGTTGAACTGTGAGGAGGCACGGATCACCTTGCAACAACACACTCGATGATTTTGTTAAAGAGTGGATACAGTAGTCAATACAGAGAAAAATGTTTCCAGTGTAATGACTATACAGTTCCAGTGATATTGATATACCTCAGTGGATGACGATAGGAAAGATACAAATTTAGCGTGCAGCCTGTTCGTGCTAGTGGTCGGGGTATGCCATTTCAAACCACCGATTGAATCACATGCGAACTGGCTGTTCACGAACGTAAAAGAAATAAATCGAATTGGGTCATTTCGAGAGACAGGATCAAACGTCAATCATCACACGCACGCCCCTCGATTCATCCAGTCAAGCATACACACCAGCATTAGCTCAAGTTTCGCTCTTATTAGTGCTCATCAGCAGTGCTTACCTACCGGGCTTTGAACTCCGGACAAATCATATGGAAACCGTGTGAAGTACCACCGGAGTTGGTCTGAAGTGCCGATTCATGTTTATTACAAACTTCATCTTCTTCCTTTTATTTTTGGCCCGAGAAAATCGAGAGAAGACACAGTATATATACCATTTGTTCATGTTTTTATTCATTTCAACGCGTGATCGACTACAGAGAACTGGTAAATGTGCCGCAAAATAATCTAACGAATGTGTTCATAGGTTGTGTTGGCATGCCATTTCCCGGATGCCCTGATCGAGGAAGGGAAATAACCTCGGGGTCCCCTCACGAAACTTCTGACTAAAACCAGACCGGCAAGACAGCAGAACTGAGCTCAGGGTCCCCAGCCCAATTGGGGGTCGGCGTGTAGTTCATCGGAGTATGCCTTGATTAGACGGAGTCTAACGTCCAAGGTGCCCAATACACCTTGATGCCCAATCCAGCTGGTGACCGACCGCCTCAGGAAGGTGGGCGTGTGGTTCGTACGCCTCCTCCCTATTAGTTTAGAATCCGTTTTTAGCCAAATCCCTTAGGTAAACTACCAGTAGTTCACTGATCCGGTTATAGCCCCGAATGAAGGCTTTTCTTCCTTTCACTTTGGTGGGAAAACATCTCCGACACGCGAAGAGCCTCCTCAGCAGAGACACTTAGTCGTATGGGAGCATTTCGTGAGGTGCACGGGAAAGGTGACTATTCGAAACCAGAGACATATACCCCGACTATATTGAGGCTTTCAGAGGATATTGTTAACTCCAATCTAAAGCCCGCCACCAAGTCAGGTCTACTTTTCAAGTGTTAACCCACACATCCTCTGTACGGAGTACAGATCCCAGATGGAACAGTGAACATTTTCTAATGATGAGCTCTAATAAGAGCAAAACTCCAGTCTAGTGCTTTCGACTGACTGCATGACCTGAGAATTGTGCTTGACGATGATGTTTGAAAGAGGCACTGTCCAAATAAATACCATTCATCTCACTCCACCACTCACTGCAAGCGAAATGTAGAACATCAATCACTCGCTCGAATGTACAAATTTTGGTATGCCTCCTCAATCCGGCAATAATAGATCAGGTAAATTGTTCGTGGATGAGATTGAACATCACAGTTATTCTGTACGATCATCTGATTTCCCAGTCATACCTGATGCATCATGGTGTTTCTTATCAGGATCTCGGAGTACTGAACGAATAACTTCAGCCAAGTATATTGAAACATCCTTCGACGTAGGTTTTTCTCTTCTCGTCAAGTCAATTGTTTTGGAATGGTAAGACTTATAGGAATAGGGTTCGTTTAACAAATCATCATAACATTGACGTTCATCGTTGTTAAACTATTCTAAAACTGTCACCTTTAGAATTTTCAAGTAAATCTATTTTTTTCTTCTCGTTGATTATTTTTAGCCATTCTGACGAAACCTCAGTGGGTGTCTAGTGCAACGAGAATGCGGATCATGTCCTTGTATCGTCGTACACTACCGTTCTGGTTTGTATGCATCCTCACATGTGATGTGATGTGCGATCTATCCAATCGGACTACACGATTAACGCGATTGGATCTAACCATGACCCCCAACCTTTTGCTCAATACATCTTCCGTCTACTTCACTTCCGAACACGGAAAGTTGACCATGCATACGGAGAAACCATCGGCTACCGTAGTCCCTGCAACAAAACCCAGACGAGCGCTACGTTCTGTGTCAACCATAACCAATTTGGCTCAGTCCCTTCGAGGTCGTCGTATGACGACGGGGGCGGAGGAGATCAACCGAGAACGGGCCCGCCACGTGCGATCCCAGTCTACGCATATCCCCAATGATGAAATGCATGTGGACAGTGGACGACGCCCGGTACATGACAGACATGTGGATGATAACCCGGTGATTCCGGCTCCCTATCCGGTCAGTTTGACGCATATGGGGGCAGACAATGCGGACCAGGAACAACTACTACGTCCGGAGAAGTGTATCCCTATCGAAATTCCACTGTGCAAAAATATTGGCTATAATTTGACCTACATGCCAAATGCATTTCATCATGAGACACAGGAAGAAGCTGGACTTGAGGTGAGTTGAATTCAGCTTCATTGTGGGGAGGAAAGGAGTCAGTTTTGAATTGAACTTCAGGAAGTATGTGGTCATTCAATGGCGTCATCTGAATAGAACGTCAACGATATGGTTGTTTCAACAAATTACATTCAGTTTAAGGTATTTATGTGACATTCCTTCCACTAGACTCATTAGAATGACCTTAATCAGTTTGGTCTAAATATTATATATATATATATATATGTATGTATCAGTATGGATGGATGAGTGGATGGATGGA